ACATGGAGCGGTGAGGGAGGAAGGGGACACCCTCCTAGCCAACCCTGGCGATCAGTGGGGTGACAGATGTTGCAGCCAGATAGCCCTTACATCCTTTTTTTTTGTACTTTTTGTAGAGACTGGGCCAGCTGATTTATTTTTGGTATTTTTTGTAGAGACGGGGTCTCCATATGTTGCCCAACTCGTCTCAAACTCCTGTACTCAAGAGATCCGCCCACGTCAGCCTCTCAATGTGCTGGGATTACAGCTGTGAGCCACCGTGCCCTGCCAAAAATAGCTTTAAGATATTATCCAAAAAGTGGAGGTGACCCAAGTGTCCATTGACCGTTGAATGGATAAACAAAATATGGTGTATACCTACAATGGGATTTTATTCAGCCTTCTAGAGGAAAGCTATTGTGACACACAGTACAACATGAACGAACCTTGAGGACATTATGCTAGGTGACATAACACAAAAAGACAAATACTGTGACTCCACTTGTATGAGGTACCTAGGGTAGTCAGGTTCATAGGGATGGGAAAGACTGGTGATGACTAGCAGGTGGAGGGAGAGGGCAGTGAGTTACCATTTAATGGGTACAGAGTTTCAGTTCTGCTAGATGAAAAGAGCTCCGCAGATGGATGGTGGTGATGGCTGTACAACAGTGTGAATGTGCTTAATACCTCTGAACTGTACACCTACAAATGATTAAGATGGTATATTTTATGTGTATTTTACCCCAACTAAAATAATATTATCCAAAAGCATGCGTAATTCGTTGTTCACTGTTTTTTCCTTCTACTAGGCGTTCTGTGAGAGTGGGATCTTGTTCACCTTATTCCCTGGTATGTGCCCTACATCTAGTACAGTGTCTAGCACATAGCAATAGCTCTATAGATATTTGCCAAATGAATAAATCGTCCTAGGAGTGGGATCTGGGGGCAGAGGATGCTCCAGAAAAGCAGTATCTCACATAATGAATTACCTTGGAAACTTTGGCAGGGGAATAATTTGCTACTGATAATATTCAGTTACCATAGAGTTTGAGAATTTGTGAACATATATCTTGATTAACTACAGAAAGAGAGGAAAAATAGGTGTCATATTACAAACCTGTAATCACATTGTTAATTACTTGGTCTCATGCGGAAAAGGGCTTCTTTCTTTAAGCCTTTTAAAACAATGGGGATTTCTTTATTATATAATATTTATTGTATTTTTATATAGTAACACAAATGTCTTACATTTTAGCCTGTAAGTTGACCTAAAACAAAACATTTCAGCCTTTTAATTTAATTATGGAAAATAGAAGCAAGAAAGGATGTAGCAAGGAAGAGGGGAAAGTGGAGAACTGTAGGAAGCTAGGGAGAATAAAAGGATGATGTGAGGGATTCAAGCCATTGCAATTGAAGACAATGTTGATTAAAATTAAACATTCATATTGCTTTTGACCCAGCAAGCTCATGCTTGGGAATCTACCCCACAGAGATAAAACCACGAGTTCATAAAGACATATGGACATGGATGCTATTGCAGCATTATTTGTTGTGACAAAAAGCACAGCCTATGGCTGAATAATTTATGGCATATCAATATAATGAATTATTATTCAGCCATTAAAAATAACGAAATAAATCTAAACCAATGGATTTAAACAGATGTTCATGAGGTATAGTTGAATGAGAAAAGGAAGATGCAGAAAAGTGTATATAATACGTTCTCACTTTTTTTTTTTTTAAATGGAGTTCACTCTGATGCCCAGGATGGAGTGCAGTGGCACAAACTTTGCTCACTGCAACGTCTGCCTTCTGGGTTCATGCAATTCTTCTGCCTCAGCCTCCCAAGTAGCTGGGATTACAGGCATGCACCACCACGTCTGGCTAATTTTTTGTACGTTTAGTAGAGACAGGGTTTCACCATGTCGGCCAGGCTGGTCTTGAACTCCTAACCTCAAGTGATCCACCCATCTCGGCCTTCCAAAGTGCTGGGATTACAGGTGCGAGCCACCGTACCCAGCCACGTTCTCACTTTTATAAAGAAGAAAATGTCCAAACTCCCAATGTCTACACAAGATTTTGTAAGCATGGAGAAAAATATAGGAGTGTGCATACTTGGTTGGTGATCTTGCTTGTTGTGTGTGTTAGTGGAGCAATGGCTGGTGCTGGAGGTGAGAAAGGAGAAGTAGAAGAGAAGGGGTAAATCAAGCAGAAAAAAAAAAAAAAAAAGCATTGAGCCCAAATAGCCAATGATGTGTATCTATGTAAAATCATATGTGGCCAGGCGCAGTGGCTCACACCTGTAATCCCAGCACTTTGGGAGGCCGAAGCAGGTGGATCACTTAAGGTCAGGAGTTTGATACCAGCCTGGCCAACATGGCAAAACCCCATCCTCCATTAAAAATACAAAAATTAGCCGGGTGTGGTGGTGCATGCTTGTAGTCCCAGCTACTTAGGAGGCTGAGGGAGGAGAACTGCTTGAACCCGGGAGGTGGAGGTTGCAGTGAACCGGGATCATACCACTGCACTCCAGCCTGGGCGATAGAGGGAGATTCCGTCTCAAAAAAACAAAACAAAACAAAAAACAAATAAAATTATATGTGAAACAGAAAAAAATAAATAAATTATGCAGAAAAAGCTAACTACTTGCTTCCTGATATCAGGAGGCTTCTCTTTAGCTTTGGTTCCACCATTTGTGGAACTTATAACAGCGGGGTGGAACAGCCTTGAGTGATGCTGGCCTCCAAGAGAGATCAGGACTGTCTATCATGGTCAGCTTTCCTTTCTCCTGGGTGTGATGGGGTGGGGGTGAGGGCGTGCTGGGAACCAAGTTACTTATTAATAATAATAGAAACAAAGGTGATCCTGAGGACCTTATCACAGGCTCTCAGGGCTAAAAACATAGATGGAAATTGAGTGAGAAGGAAAAAGTACCGCAAACAACTCTTGGAGGGCGCCATATTCACTCTGGGATCTAGGACAGATCCAGGAAGTGAGCCCACCTTCATCGAAGGGGTCTGCGACATGATCTGCGAAATGTAAGATGTATATGTAACATGTACAAGAGAGAAGAGGCCCATGGTGTGGAAAACATCCTGTGGTGGTCATTCAGAGCTTGGATTCTGAGATCAAGTGGCTCTGGGTTCCAATCTGCATTTGCTAGATATAGGCTACTTTCATGAGACTCAGTACGGTGGCTTAAATGGGAAAGTCATGGCCAGGCATGGTGGCTCACGCCTGTAATCCCAGCATTTTGGGATGCTGAGGCAGGTGGATCACTTGAGACCAGGAGTTTGAGAGCAGCCTGGCCAACATGGCAAAACCCTGTCTCTACTAGAAATACAAAACTTAGTCCGGGTGCGGTGGCTCACGCCTGTAATCCCAGAACTTTGGGAGGCCGAGGTGGGTGGATTGCCTGAGGTCAGGAGTTCAAGACCAGCTTGGCCAACATGGTAAAACCCTGTCTCTACTAAAAATATGAAAAATTAGCCTGTGTGGTGGCAGGTGCCTGTAATCCCAACTACTCAGGAGGCTGAGGCAGGAGAATCATTTGAACCCAGGAGGTGGAGCAGTGAATCGAGATCATGCCATTGCACTCCAGCCTGGGTGATGAGAAACTCCATTTCAAAAAACAAAACTTAGTCCGGCATGGTGGCACGCGCCTGTAATCCCAGCTACTTGGGAGGCTGAGGCAGGAGAATCACTTGAATCCGGGAGGCAGAGGTTGCAGTGAGCCGAGATCACACCACTGCACTCCAGCCTGGGCGACAGAGACTCCATCTTCAAACAACAACCACCACCACCACCAAACCAGGAAAGTCGTGCAGTTCTCAGGTTCACAATCCAGACAGGGAGTGGAGCTGTTCTGGTGGCTTGATGGTGATGGACACCCAGGCTCCCTTTTTCCCTCTGCTCTCCTGTCCCTTATCAGTTCACCATTACATTTGCCTTCAGGCTGTTGAAGGGAGAAACAGAAAAGAGGAGGCTCCCCTCCTTTCCTCCTAACTGCTACACTCAGAAGTCGAATGCATGTCATTGGCCAGATACCGGTCACGAGGCCACACCTCGCTGCAAAGAAGGCTGGGGATGGGGTTTCAGACAAGCAGCCACCCAGCCAAAACTTCCATGACTGAGTAAGACAGGAGATAGGACTTAATCCCAAAATCACACAACAATAGCCGTATAAGCCTAAGAAGGAGTGGCAGCGTGAACTCTGAAAGCATATAACAGGGAACTCTGATTCAGCCGTAGGGGTGGGGGTGAGGAGGTTTAGGGAACTGACATTTTCCAGAGGAAATGATTTTGAGCGGAGATCTGATGGAGGTCACTGAATGAAGCAAAGAAGAGGGTTCCAGAAGGAGGAACACTGCACAAAGACCCCAAAATGGGAAAGACAGGGCGTGTTTGAGGAATTGAAAAAAGGTTTAATTTAAGGAGAAGCATAGATGGGGTTTCTTCCCAAGGAATGGAGCCTGGCTAGTGAAAGATATTCCAGCGTGAGCACCAGCTCTCACAGATACCATTTGTTTTCTGTGGCTTGGAAACATCCCACGGTGGTTTGTCTGGCAGCCCAGAGAAAGCTGACATTGGTTTGAGAAGGTCTAATTATTCCTCGTGTAAGACTTGGGTAAATGAGTAAAGTCTTTGTGTGGGTTGCTTTAGAAGAATTTGGCAAAGTTGTGTGCCTCGTTTGTGTTATTTATAATTTTAAGAAAGCTTAGGAAACAGTCTTAGCATCTTGTCTATAATATATTGAAATGCAGCGGCTTTGAAAATCATTTGCCTTTTTGAATTAAAGGAACAGATCGGCAATTGAGTAATGGATCCACCCTGGGACGTGGGAGGTGAGAGCAAAAGTAGTTGTTGACTCATCTCCATGTATGTGTGGTAACACATGAAAATCAGTTTCATTACTTTATAGCTTCACCTCCTATTAAAGCCCTGTAAAGTGTGAGTCAGAGGAAACTTGAGGTACTAGAATTTGAGAGAGCCCAGTATAAAAATTCATGAAATCTTTCTGCAACACTTACTCTACTTTTACTTATTGCAACTGGGTAATCGTTTTTTTAAATTTTAATGTGCTTCTCCTTTGCTTTCCCAAGGATACAACCTCTACTTTAGCTGGCTCCAGGCATCTGTCTGATTGGAGAAGATGAACATCTGTTATGGGAGGAAAGCCGAGAGAAAGACTGGGTAATTTCGAATTTTTGGCACTCAAAACCAGGATCAGGCAGCTGGCTTTCATCTTGAAGGTAGATTTTGCACTTCAGCATCTTTATCACACCCAGAAACCAGGGCCTGGCTCAGTTTAGGAAAGGGCAGTGCAGCATAGAGAAGATACTCCTAAGGCGAGCTGCCAGAGAAGATACAGAATGCCCAGTTAGATGTGAATTTTAGATAAACAATGAATAATTTGTTAGAATAAATATGTTCCAAATATTGCATGGAACATAATTACACTAAAAAATTTGCTGTTTATTTAAATATAACTGGGCATCTTGTACTTTTTTTTTTTTATAGGGAGTCTCACTCTGTCACTCAGGCTGGAGTGCGGTGGCGTGATATCAGCTCACTGCAACTTCCACCTCCTGGGTTCAAGCAGTTCTCATGCCTTAGCCTCCCAAGTAGCTGGGACCACAGGTGTGTGCCACCACGCCTGGCTAATTTTTTGTATTTTTAGTAGAGATGGGGTTTCACCACGTTGGCCAGGTTTGTCTCGAACTCCTGAGCTCAAGGAACCTGCCTGCCTTGGCCTCCCAAAGTGCTGGGATTACAGACGTGAGCCACTGTGCCCGACCTGTATTTGTATTTGTAAACCTGGCAATCCCACCCCTAAGGTGTAGGACAGCTAGATAGGTGCCACTGTATCTACAGTGGGAAAATAAACCAGGAGGGAAGAGTAGAGTGTGCTAGTCACACTGGCAGGCCAGCCTTGAAAGCCCCTTTCTCTATTTGAGCAGAACCCATTCCCACTAGAGAATCAGAAAGTACCAGATCTTGCTTTTCCAGCTCCTTGAGCACAACTGAAGGCACATGCCAGTCAGGGACATCTTCCCTAACCTTGATTGATAAGAAATCAGGGGTTTGGAAGAAGCAGGTGCAGTGCAGAGCAGAATACGGCAGTGACTGTAGCCGCATTGTTCGTCATGCGTTGTCAGTGGTGGAACCTGTGGGGTCCAGCACCCATAGCAACGGAAGTGTTTCTAAATCCTTCTCGTGGGCAATTGTTCCTGGCTGCAGAGCCTCAGTGCCTGGCTCTGGGTGTCTCAGGTTCTCTGCAAGCCATGCAATATCCTTTGGATAAATTCCTTTGCTCCTTAAGTCCAGCAGTGTTGGTTCTGTTCCTTGCACCTAAAAACTGAGTGATCAATGAAATAAAAGCCTTTTGAGGAGTGAGGAACTGTGGAGATAACAAGAGGAGTGAGATGGGAGAACAGAGTGGACAGAAAAGTGCCGGGAGAGCAGGTGGTATACAGTAAATCAGGGGAGGATAGGGGCCTTCTTACAGGATGCCCCTGTACCATTCTTCACTCACAGAGCCACTTGGGGAGGTTGCAGCCACTTTTGATTCATAAGGACCAGTTTCCATGCTGATTGTATGGTGCTTGTACTTTACGGGATTTTAAGTATTTCGAATGACTCCTGGGTGCACACATTTCATCTTGGAGAGTCTCTGAGAGTTAGTTGTCTAAAGCCTCCCTTGATACCAGTATGTTACAGATAAAATCTAGAGTTTAGCTGAGGAGTTTGACATGGTGGAGGAGAGGTAGTTCTGTGCAGTGAACAGCACTCAAGCCAGGGTTGAATGGGAAACACAGACAGACTTCACTGTGATAGGGGGCCCGTAAGGGTTCATAGTCCAGGCAACACCCCTGGGCCAGGTCAAGCTAAGTTAGACTAGGATAGCCATGGACTTTCAGCCTCAAATGCCAGCACGGCCAGCATTACCCTGGAGGAAAGAGATGCTGCCTATGTTCTTGAAGTCCCCAACTCTTTTTGGCCATCATGAAGTTATAAAAACCATAATCTTCCATGATCCCTTAGGGAGAAAAGCAGAGGGCAAGGTGGGCATAAGACACATACATGGACGTAGGTGACCTACATGGATGGCCAAATTATTGTATTAGATATTTAGTCACGTCTGTGGCCCATGCCTGTAATCTCAATACTTTGGGAGGGTGAAGTGGGAGGATCTCTTGAGGCTAGGAGTTCAAGACCAGCCTGGGTCACATAATGAGACCTCTGTCTCTACAAAAAATTCAAAACTAATTAGCTGGGTGTGGTGGCACATGCCTGTGGTGCAGCTGTTTGGGACGCTGAAGTGGGAGGATTCATTAAGCCCAGCAGTTTGAGGCTGCAGTGAGCTATGATCAAAACACTGCACTCCAGCCCAGGTGACAGAACAAGACCCTGTCTCAAAAAAAGAAAAGAAAAAAAAAAGTTTTCTTTCTGCACACCTGAATAATGACATGTATTAACCTTGGTAACCCTGCTTTCTCCACTTGCGAACCCATATCTTTTGCCCCAGCCATCATTCTCCAGACCCTGCATGCATCACCTGTAGGGCTCACAAAGCCGATGTTCTCATGTGGAATTCGGGGTAGTGGCTCAGCTGCTGCTGCTTGTGACCTGGGAAAATCAATGGTTTCCAAGGTGCCTCAGCATCGGAGCCTATGTCCTCCTTTTCGTTCTGTTGCCTCGCTGTGGAACTCTCTCTTCTACACTTGAAAAAACCCATTAGTCCCTCAAGAGCCAGACCGAATGTCAAGACTGAGAAATTTCTTAAGACCTATGTTCCCTTTCTAGACAGAATTAATTGCAGCCCTCTTTCCCTGCCCTTTGCATTTGAAGGCTGCGTGGCTGTCTGCCTTGCTGGGCCAGGAGCATACGGAGGGCGGAGACCACATGGTTTTCGTTGTTCCACCCAGCTTCCGACATTGACCCAGCAAAGAGCTGGTCCCTGACAAATGTCAGCTGAGCTAATTGAATGAGTACTCTCCTTTGTCTTCTCCTATTTACCTACACAGTCTCATATTGAAATGGCCTTTAATTGTATTTGTCTTTGATCTAAATATTGGTAAGTGTTCGTTCCTATCCATTTATTACAGCATTTAGCGCAATAGCTTGTGCGTCGTAAGTGTGCACATGGTGGTTAATTGGATGTCTTGGTTTAATGCCTTCATTCACAGGATGTGACTTTGAAGAGACCTTAGAAGTCATCTAGTACTAGCCGGGCACTGTGGCTCATGCCTATAATCCCAGCACTTTGGGAGGCCGAGGTGGGTGGTTCACCTGAGGTCAGGAGTTCAAGACCAGCCTGGCCCCCATGTGAAACCCCATCTCTCCTCAAAATACAAAAATCACCTGGGCATGGTGGTATGCACCTGTAATCCCAGCCACTCCGGAGGCTGTACCAATGAGTGTACATCACACACGTGTGGATACTATCTCTACTAACTTGGTCTAAGTTACGACATGGTCAGGTCTCTGTTCAGTTACACAGGCATTTGGTGTGTGCTTTCTGATGTTGGTGGTGGCGATGATGATGGAAGGTGTTAGCTGCCAAGGCAGTTTCACTCTTGTCTCCTTGATAACAATATTAATATATAATATTTATTAAACATCTACTGTTGTCAAGAAATTTTGTGGGGTACTGACGGGACAAAAAGTACAAGGACAACAAATAAGTAGTACTTGTCCTTGAAGAACTAGTAAGTCTAAGAAGGAAAATAGATGAGTCCGACAATTATAGTACAAGCAGAGAATTGTTGGGTGAGAGTTTGTAAAAGGCACAAGGAAAGCCAGGCCTGTGAGGGAACGGGCGGTGGAAAAGAGGAAGTAGAGAATACGGGGGAGGAGTCTGCTGGATGAACACCCTAGGGAAATAGTTCCGGAGAGAAGGAATGGATGTGCCAAGTGGGGAGGTGTGAGAGACATGCTTGTGGCCATTCCATCTGGCCCAGTACTGTAGCCACAGTGCTAGAAAGGCAGGGGTTAGGGAGGTGGCCAGACAACTGGTGAGGCTGGAGAGAGAGGTGGGAGTCAGGTCATATGCAAAGGAATTGGTTTTCATTATATTGGCATTGGGGATCTCTGGCAATTTTGTGGAATGGGTTGAGATGTACATTAGAAAGACCTCACTGGTATCCTTATGGTTGAGGCTTAAGGAGAAGGGAGACTGGTAAGGAGGTGATTTTAATATTTTAGGAGAGAAAGGATGACTAAGGCAGTGGTGGAGGGGTCAGGACAAGGAACAGAAAGCTACACATAAGGGGTCATGGAGATGCCTGTCAGAGGGATGAAGGGCTGGAGAATGACTTCAGGTATTGTGACTTGGGCTTCTGGGTGGATGCAGTGTTGAGCTGAGAATGGGGAACTCACAGATCATCCAGCTGAGATAGTCAATTGCCATTTTTATCTATTGATGTGAATTCAGAATGGAGGTTTAGCTGAAGATACAGACATGATACTGACAGTGCCCAGAGAGAGGAAGAGCAGGTTAAGGGTCCAGAAGATTACCCCAAAGTAATGATAGGCCATGAGGGAAGAGCCAGTAAAGGAGACAGAGAAGGAAAATCCAGAGTGGAAGCACAGAAGAAGGTCAGGCCAAGGGAGGTGAAAGTTTTAGAGGGGAGAAAGTGATTAATAGAGTTAAACGCTACAGAAAGGAGTGGGACTGAGACTTTTAAAAAGCCGTTTATTTTAGCAACTTTGGGGGACACCGGGAGAGCAACTGCAGTAAAGTGAGGAAGCCAGACCTCAGAGGGTGCAGCACCCATGGGAGATGAATGGGTGGAGACAAGCATAGACAACTTGAGCCAGGAGCTTGGCTGGGGAGAGGAGAGAGGATAACAAGCAGCGAGATTCAAGTGGTGTTGAAAAAAAGTAAGGTAGGGGCTGGGCGTGGTGGCTCACACCTGTAATCCCAGAACTTTGGGAGGCTGAGGTGGGCAGATCACTTGAGGTCAGGTGTTCGAGATCAGGTTTCACATGGTGAAACCCCGTCTCCACTAAAAATACAAAAATTAGCCGTCATGGTGGCGGGTGTCTGTAATCCTAGCTACTTGGGGGAGGCTGAGGCACGAGAATCGCTTGAACCCGGGAAGCGGAAGTTGCAGTGAGCTGCACTCTAGCCTGAGCAACAGAGTGAGACTCTGTCTCAAAATAAATAAATGAATAAATAAAATACATACATAAAATAAAATTTTAAAAGTAAGATAGGACATTTCAACCAAGTTCAAGAATAGGGAAAAAATATACAAGGCAGGATAGGCTTGCACCTGCTGACATACTGAGAGGAAGGTGTCAAGTGAGAGGAAGGATTGGGGATCAGAAACAAAGGGGTAACTGAGGGAGCAAGGAACTTGAAGTTGACGTGGGAGGATTAGAGGAAGGCTGTTTTTTTCTTCTGAAACATGGACTAGGGGCTGATGAAGATGTTGGTTAGTGCAGGCAGATGTTGACGTTGAACAGGAGACATCTGAGGGAGTTCATTCATACCCATTGGACTCTTTATTCACAGTGAACATTATCACTGGAGAAAGCCTGATTATTGAACGGTGGCTGAAAGGGCAGACTTTGGAGGCATTACTAGGGTTCAAATGCTTTTTCTGCCATTCTGTAGCTTATGACCTCGGGAAATTTCCCTAAACACCATGTGCCTCAGTTTTCTCATCTGTAAAATGGAGATGACAATAATCCTCAATGGACTGTGGTAAGAATTAAGTGAGTTAAAATATGTGAAGTGCTTAGAACAGTGTCTAGTATAAAATAGGCCTCATATAACAACTGTGGTTGTCATCATTGTCTCCGTCATTTTCTGCTGAGACAGATGGTTGTTTGTTTTGCTGTCTTTTTGAGATAGGATCTTGCTCTGTCACCCAGGCTGGAGTGCAGAGGTGCAATCTTGGCTCACTGCAACCTCCACCTCCCAGGCTCAAGTGCACCTCCCACCTCAGCCTCCTGAGTAGCTGGGATTACAGGCACACTCAGCTAATTTTAAAATTTGTTTTGTAGAGATGGGTTCTCAGTAGGTCTCACCCAGGCCATTCTCAAATTCCTAGGCTTGAGTGATCCTCCCACCTTGGCCATCCGAAGTGCTGGGATTACACCCATGAGCCGCCATGCTCGGCTGGTTTTGAATGCATTGTTGGAAGCTGTACACATTTAGACCACCTGCTGAGTAAGCTAGGAGAAAGGGCTAAGAACATGAAAGACTGCTGAGTGATATTGGGAAGCAAAGATAAAACCAGAAGATAAAACTCTGTAGCAGTCTAAAGTTTCACAGTTGTGTGAAGTTGTCACTGAATAACCAAAGAGATTGGTTTTATTTCCCCTTTACAGATGAGGAAACTTGAGGCTTAGGAAGGTTTAATAGCTTGTTTGGGGTAACACACGGGTAAGTGGCAGGCACAGGTGATTTGACACTGCACTCTACCTTTTCACCATACTGGTGTTCAAAACACACAACAAAGCTGTTCCCCCGACAAACTGTCATCAAGGCCTTTGAACCTGTGGTTGCTGGAGGAGTGATGGAGTTGTAATGCACACAGGGAAAGAAGAAAATAAGTGGGACAGAGAGAATGGTCTGACTTTGTGAAGGACTTCTGTGACATTGGAATAACGAACATTTCCTTCAGAATGAAAGAAGTCTAGTTCTCATCTCACTTACTGAAACCACAAATCCAAATTCTGACAGATTCTGGTAAAGAAGATTTGTGATAAACAGACCCTTTTATTCAGGATTTGCCTGGGCATTAAAGCTGCTAGGACAGATGATGTATATGAACTGGGCTATATACAGATAATGTTTATATCTGTATACACCATATTATATAATGTATGTGATAGGATCCAGTAGTGCCCAGCACACCAAGGTGATTACAAGGTAATTAGCATGTGTCTGCTGAATGAGTGACTGATTAAGTCATGACTCTGGAAGTGTGGTAAGAGGGTTGGGGAGAAAGATGTGAGAAATTAGTCTGACATAAGAAGCCCTATGAAAAGGCTTTCTCTCAAACATTTTAAAGCATTGGCAGTACCCAGAAATTACTTAAATGTCTGTAAAACACTCACCTAAACAATTGACATCACTTGACCATATTAACTAGGGCTAACGGTCTTTCTAATTGCCAGAGCCCCACCAGCTTCTAGATGGTAATGGCCCAGCCGGTTTCAATGGGTCTCCATGGTTACACTCATGCTCTGGTTTCCATGGTTACATTTCCCGGTCTCTCATAGGAGTTAGATATGTGTTTGAAATTTAAAAGGATTTTTTTTTTCTTTCTTGTCAGCCTACACAGAAATCTAGGGTTCAGAGGTCCAGGATGAAAGTTTCAGTGACCTCTTGGGAGGTTACCAAGGAGGAAATGGTAGTAATATTTGTGACAGCTGTGATCTATCACGGAATGAGCACTCAATTGGGAAATACTGTGGAGCTAGAATGATAACCCAGTATTTTATGAGCCTTAGTGTTTAGCTTAATTAGAGGAGGCGGAAAAACTGGGCTGAGAAAACAATATCCTATTGTTTGGATGGGTGGCTCCCAGCGCTAGGAGTAGGATGTTGTGCAGAGGTGGGGCTGGGGGGCTCTCTATTGAAGTCCCTTTAAAATGATCATTTATTTACCATAACAGTGTTGTGGCCTCCCTGCATTCATTCCTCCCTCCGTCCTCATTTCAAATCATCTTTCTTGGCTTACTCGGCTAAAGCAGGCATCTGTTAAAAGGTATCAGCCCAGGCAAGACTTAGTTGGCTCCGGCTGTTCTTGGCGGAGGGAGACAGGTGGAACTCTAGTGCCTCCTTGTGGAATCTCTAACATTTCCAGGTCTACCTCACCTAGAAAAGAACTCAAGTTTGTACTTCTAAGATTTTAAGAAGTCTTTCTCCATTTCTTTTAATGTATCCATCCCTCTCTCTCTCCTACAAACTTCACTGAGTATCAATTATATTTCAGCTAGGCCCTAGAAATAATACTAATAAAAAAGATAGAATATTACCTTCACACAGTTCGTAATCCGTTGCAAAACAAGTAAACAGCTACTAGCAGTCCCAAGAGCTAATGGAAGAACGACAGTGGGGTGACCTCCTGGCTGGGAAAGCTGTGTAAGCTATCGAGCTAGAGGACTTTTTTTTTTTTTTTTTTTCTGAGACGGAGTCTCGCTCTGTCGCCCAGGCTGGAGTGCAGTGGCGCCATCTCGGCTCACTGCAAGCTCCGCCTCCCGGGTTCACGTCATTCTCCTGCCTCAGCCTCCCGAGTAGCCGGGACTACAGGGGCCCGCCACCACGCCCAGCTAATTTTTTTGTATTTTTAGTAGAGACGGGATTTCACCGTGTTAGCCGGGATGGTCTCGATCTCCTGACCTCATGATCCGCCCGCCTCGGCCTGCCAAGGTGCTAGGATTACAGGCGTGATCCACCGCACCCAGCGCTAGAGGACATTTTTGAGCTGGGTGTTCAAGGATTCTGTCCCTCAAGGTTGAAAGATGAAATAATGCAATGTTTTATCAGTAGGGGGACTTTGTCATCAAAATAAACCAGAGGATAACATGTAGTAAGTAATTCCTGTTTCTGTTTGGGTTCATATGCTTGCTACCTTCCAAACAGCTCTTCAGGCGGAAGCAGGTGCACAGACAGTGCTGGTGGAAAAACCTGAGAAGCAGCTATCAGTATTGGACCGCATACGAAAGCCTCTTCGGGCCGTTTGCTAGCATCCAGAGCAGAGATGATAGGCACCTCCTTGCAGGAACAGGCTCTTCACTGAGCGGGGGGAGGGAGGGAAGGAGTGTGAGGAGGGGGGCAGAAATCAATGACTTTAAATAGGGGAGTAATGTCATCAAATTTGAATTTTACGGATTTGTTTCTCTGGCATTACATTCATAGCCAAGTTCCAGAATGACTCTCGGGCCCCGGATTGGGCGACTTCGTTGTCTGTGCTTCTGATTCGTAGAAAGAGGGAATATTAGGGGAAGAGGTTGTAACACGACAGCTACACTTACTGGTTTATTGTGCCTTCTCCCAGAGACATTCTTTGCTTTTATAGGCAGATTTTGATTTAAAGGAAATATTGAATTTTCCTTTGGTCCTGTTGTGTGTGTTTCAAGTGCTCGCGGATCATCCGAGTGGAGAGAGCAGCAGCAAGTAGGCCCTCCTTACCCTTATTTTTGGAAACACATGATTCTACACTTCAGTATTCTTACTATATCTTGGAGATGGATATACAGAACTGACTCATTCTTTTAAATAGCAGTGTAGAATAGAGGTAGAATGGAGGTAACAATGTATTTAACCAGGCCCCTTTTAATGGGCTTTAAAAGGCCACACTGCAGGACGTGGTGGCTCACGCCTGTAATCCCAGCACTTTGGGAGGACAGGCAGATCACGAGGTCAGGAGTTCGAGACCAGCCTGGCCAGTGTGGTGAAAACCCGTGTCTACTAAAAATTAGCTGGGTGCGGCGGCACGTGCCTGTACTCCCAGCTATGTATTTATATATATATTTATATATATTTTATATATAAAATACAAAAACTAATTCTCCTGTGTTTTCTATCAGACTTTTATGGTTTCGCTTGCTGCATTTATAAATGTTTAATCTAGCCACTTGCGGTGGCTCCACAAAGCCACCACTTTGGGAGGCCAGTGCAGGTGGATCACTTGAGGTTAGGAGTTTGAGACCAGCCTCGGCAACATGGTAAAACTCTGTCTCTACTAAAAATACAAACATTAGCCAGGTGTGGTGGTGTGCACCTGTAATTCCAACTACTGGGGAGGCTGAAGTAGAAGAATTGCTTGAACCCGGGAGGCGGAGGTTACAGTGAGTTGATATGGTGCCACTGCACTCTAGCCTAGGAGACAGCGAGACTCTGTCCCAGGGAAAAAAGGTTTAATCTATCTGGAGCTTATTTTGATTTACAGAGATCTAATGTATTTTCCCCCCACATGTCTACCTAGTAGTCTCAACACCATTTATTTGAAACGCTGTCTTTATATGTGTGTCTGTTTCAGAGTTTTTTTATGGCAGATAAGCTTTATTTTTTGGACGAAGTTTTGCTCTTGTTGCCCAGACTGGAGTGCAATGGCGTGATCGCAGCTCACTGCAACCTCCACCTCCTGGATTCAAGTAATTCTCGTGCCTCAGCCTCCTGAATAGCTGGGATACAGGCGCCCGCCACCACGCCCAGCTAATTTTATATTTTTAGTAGAGATGGGGTTTCACCATGTTGGTCAGGCTAGTCTTGAACTCCTGACCTTAGGTGATCTGCCTGCTTCTGCCTCCCAAAGTACTGAGATTACAGGCGTGAGCTACTGCGCCTGACCAGCAGATGAGCTTTAATTCCGTCTAACCTTGTCCTTGAAGCAAGGTTCATTGTTTCTGTTGTTTTGTTTTTGATGTGGGAAAGCCTTGAGCATGTTTGTATGTGGAGGGAGAAGAGCAGGTGGTCGGGGAGAGGTGCAGAGGAGATCCGGATGCGACCATAAAGGGAAGATGGGTTATGACAATCAGTGACACATCCAAAGAGCTGACGGGTGTGCCCACCTCAGCAAGGGAGGAAGTGCTCTGCATTTTTCCAGGAGTTTTTGGTATCGTGTGAGGTAGCACCGCTTCCAGCTAACAAAGCCCTCTCTCCTAGTTTGTCAGTCCCCTCCTGGGCTCTCTTCTTCCCTACCTGCTCTGGAATTCATGTTCATCACTTCAGTCTTTCCTAATGGGCCTTCTGCTCTCTTAAGTTCCCAGCCTGGATCAATGCTGCCATTCACCTTGGCACAGTTGTGCTGACAGACATGTCCCACCACTGTTTCTAACCCAGGCCAGGAACTTTAGCTCTGCCGTCCGCTCCTCTTTGTTTTGGTCCCTCTCACTTGGGCTGCAGTGTTTATTCCAAACCTTTAAGCACCCTCTGTCCCCCCAGTTCCTTACTCTCAGCGAATGACCTGTCTTACCGGGGTAGAATGCAGCCTCTCCACCTGGTGTCTGTGGCTGGGATTCAGCAGGTTGAGAAACTAAAATTATATGTTAAAATTTGGGTAATGTGCCTTTATTTTTTTGAGATGGGATCTTGCTCTGTTGTCCAGGCTGGAGTACGGTAGCATGATCTTGGCTCACTGCAGCCTCTGCTTCTAGGTCTCAAGTGATCCTTTCACCCCAGCTTCCCAAGTACCTGGAACCACAGGCATGTGCCACTACTCTCAGCTAGTTTTATTTTATTTTATTTTATTTTTTTGTACAGATGAGGTCTCACTATATTGCCCAGGCTGGTCTTGAACTCCCAGGCTCAAGCAATCCTCCTGTCTTGGCCTCCCAAAGTGCTGGGATTATAGGCGTGAGCCATGGCTCCCAGCCTAATGTGCCTTTTTGAGAGAAAAACGTGTAGTTTTCATCAGATTCTCAACATCTGGAAAGGCTAAAAATCTCTACTGCAACACATTGAATATGCCAGGTCTGATCTCCCTTAACTTTCTGGCCCTCTACCTCCAAGCTTATCACTGCCCATAACCATCTTTATCTGCTCTTCTCTGGGTTTGGAGGAGGTTGGGCCCCTCTCCCTGTTTATTCTGGGCCCACCCGTTATACATCATCCCGTAACTCTAGCCTTCCTGCTGGATCTGTTTTCTCTCTTAGTTACTCCAGCTCTCGCCTTCCATTGCTGCTTCTTTTCAAACTGGCTTCTCTCACTCCTAAATGTACACGTAACAATAGCAGAAACAACACCCACAGGTCCCTTTGTATTCCTCTCTCGTTCTGTCTGTTGTCAGCTCATCCCTAGCCATGCCTGGTGCCTCCCCTCTGTGACCTCAATCAGTGTCCTGTGCATATTTCTGTTCTCTGCTCACCACATTGCATAATTAGAGCTATTTCTGTGTCTCTGTCTCTCCCATTGGACTGTGAAGCCGAAGACCACGTCGTCTTTATCTTCAGACCAGTCTCACACATTGTGGAAGCTCGATAAATATTTGGAGACAAGAACTACTCATCAATTTAGTCGTTCTTCTCTAGATCTTCTTTTCTTACCATGTTTTTTCTTGAGGTATCAAAACTAGAATAAGAAACAGGTTTTTGTTTTTGTCTTTTGAGATGGCGTCTCGTTCTGTTGCCCAGGCTGGAGTGCAATGATGTGATCTCAGCTCACTGCAACCTCTGCCTCCTGGGTTCAAGTGATTCTCATGCTTCAGCCT